ATAAACGTACAGGAAAAGAGAATGAAACTGGAATTTATTATTTTCCTTTATGGAAACGAATACCCAAAGTATGAGCTGGGACTACGTATTAATTCAATCACGCTCCACCTTACACCACTGGGACCAGCCCAAGGCGACCGCACACCAGGCACATCCTGGGTTCCAGGAAGGACGCCGGACACCGGGGGCGCTGAGGTTCCAGGCTCTGTCTACGAACCAAAATTGTTTCACAGGGCTGTGAGGTCCCTCCTCAGCGGTGGGCTAGTTCACAGTTACCCTAACACGAATCGATGCAGGGGACCACGGGGCCGTCTTTGATCAGACTCACAAAATCCGCCGCCGGGGAGCTCTGCCGCTCGCAACGCCACCCCAGCCCTGTGTTTCCCCCACCTGCTCGCTCTCACTTGTTGGCCGAGGCTCCTGATGCTGGGCACTGTGCTGCACACGGAAGCTTCAGGGCTGCCTTGCAGGCTGCCCAGGCCAGCAGGGGGATGGGCAAGATGCTGCAGCAGAAAAGCCCCTCAGACGCCGAGGCCCCATGGACAGATGTCACTGTGCACACCTTCTCTCCCTGCCTGAGAGTGACTCTCCTCACCGGTATAGGCTCTGCTCCGTGGCCACTACCTCTGCCCTCTGCAGGCCCTGCCCTGGCTCCCAGGTGTCCAGCTAGCCCCCGCAAGGGTCACTCTCTTGGTGGGCTGTGGTCATCTGGGCTTGAGCCCCCCTCCCGGCCGACTGGGAACCTCCCCAGGCCCTCTACACACCTAGCCTGCAAAAGTGGGCCTGTGAGTTGCTGTCCCTGCTGCCGCCACGTGTGACAGAGTGTCACTAGGTGGGTTCTCTGGATCATGAGCTCCAGGAGCAGAGCCGAGTCCCCGCCTGGCACAAGCCCTTCCCAGTGAGAAGCTGCTCAGGTCTGGGCAGGACTTTCTTAACTGCAGCAGCCATGTGGACACAGCTTCACCAACAAAAACCACAAGCGGAGGTCAGGAGGCCGGGGCTCAGTACAGCCCTCCTGTGAAAAACCCAATTATGACTTAATTTCATAAATCATGCTTCCTATTTCTCTGTGACCAGGCTGGGTCACTTCTCTGCAAGACAGAGTGACAAGAGTGGTGCGGGGCAGTGACAAGTGGCTCTGGCCGAGGGCTGCGTGCTGGACCCACTTTCTCACTGACCTTGTTCAAGTGAGGAAATGGAACAAGAATGGCTTTGTAAATGGTAACAGCAGGCAAACATGAGTCGTGGGCAACTTAGAATTTTCTTTTCTGAGATGACACCCGTTTTGGTTCCAACATCACATATTAGGCACTCCCACTGGGCTACTACTGTTGGGGACACAGGTGAGTTAAAATCCGAGTCTCACTTTGGGGGCACAAAGCCTGGGGGGCAGATGACAAAGTAACAGGGGAAAGTGCACAGTGGGCTCAGCGAGGCACAGCAGTGCCTGTGGGTTCCAGAGGGTTCTAACCAGAAGGAACGGCTTTCTGACAAGGAGCTTGGACAGCCTCCTGGCCCTGGGTGACATCCATGTGGGGTTCTAGAGGATGAAAAGGGATCCACCAGGTAACTAAAGGGTGGGGAAAGTTCTAGAAGGTACAGCACAGGCAAAGACACAGAGAGGTGGGACACTGTGGCCCTGTTCAGCATTCCTGATCCAGACACTTCCTCTGAGCATCCTGTTCCCTCCAACACTCACGGAAGGGAAGGGGCCATGCTCGACTCGAGGCGAGTTTCACCACATCGGCCCCCTGGGCGCAGTGGCACAGGAACGGGCTGCGTCACTAACCATGGTTCCTGGGGTCTTAGGAATCGTCCAGAGAGCCCCCTCCCTGTCCTGCTGGGAGCTAGGGATCTACAGGCTTGTGAAGGAAAATGCCCTTTCCCAAGTTTGAAGGAGATCCGATTGCCCCTCTGACTTTTCTCCTGAAGGATGAACAACCCCAGATTCTTGGCCATCTTGGGTAAAAGTGAAGGCGATGCAGCTGATCCCTCTCTGTGTGGGAAGGGTGCTGCTTGCCCAGGGCCCTCTAAAGGATGCATTTCCCTGTAGGCTTTGGCCAGCCATCCTTCCTTTTCTGCTCCACTTGTATGACTCAGCCTCAATCAAAGCCCACGAGGTAGAAAACCACAGCCATTCACAATTCACAGGAGCGGGGCGGCGGGGGGCGCTGCCCTAAAGTGGGAGTGGGAATAGATTCCCCAAACTCGGGCATGGGGGATGCTGGAAGCTTCCCTACAGAGGGTGTGTATCATTAAGGCCGGGGGTGGGGGCGCGGGTGGAGTTGCAAAGGGATCTCGGCAGTGGGAAGAAACAGGTTCCTCCTCTCACAGCAAGAACTGGAGTGACCTGGGAGATCATGGTTTGTGCCTTCTGGGGACAGTGGTGGTGGCTTCCACCCATCCTGAGCCCCCAGCTTCCCAGGAAGGGCCCTGGTGTGGCTGCAGCCTAAAGGTAAGAGACATACCAGGGACTCAGGTTCCTGAGACTGGGGGCTTTGCCCTGGTGGACGCAAGGCCACCCAGTCCATGTGCTGACTGCAGAGGGGAGGGGGCCTTTGCCGCCCTTGGGGGTCTCATCCTTGCTGCCTCTGAGAACATAGGGGCCATCACTCCCCCACTGAGCCACAAAGACCTGGCCTTGCATCTTGGCTCAGATACCTACCAGCTGGGTGACCCTCGGCAGCTCAGGTGACTTCTCTGAGCCTCAGTTTCCACTTTGCACTAAAAATATCTAATGGTATTAATGAGGTTGTAGCAAGGGGTGAGTGGTCTTGGGTGTGAATGTGCATGGCTTCCTTAGTTACAGATCCCTGGTCCAACCCCTTCCTTATAACAGGGGTGGAGGCCAAGGCCTGGCCAGGGGTGGGGATGCACTGTCCGGGGGACCTCTGCACACAGTGGGAGTTGAGACATTTGTGTCTGCCAACCACGTACGTGAACTACCCATCCAGAACTGACTCGGTTCCTGCCAGGCGAGGAGCGGCATCAGGAAGGGTCCCCAGGAGAAACACGGGGCCTCTGCCCCAGTCTGAGCTATGAGCACAGCCTGCTGGGGCCAGCCCCTCACTTCTGGGTGTGCCCCCTCCCCACCCCCCCAGCCCCCCCGCCACCCAGTGGAGGTAGGTAGCAGGGGCCCTGTCATCAGGTTCAGGGCAGCAGGGGGGCGGAGCCCAGCCCAGGGTACAGCTCCCCGGCACTTGGGTCGACTTTCCGGGTGCTGGAACCACACACAGGCTTTTGTAACCCACCTCAGGGGCTTGCTTCCCATCAAACAATTCATTATGCACTTAGATGGTACACGGTTTTTATGGCTTCCTACCACAGAGGAGCCTCTGATGCCTGATAAAAGATTTCTGCTAAAGACACCAGCTGAGAAGCTCATTATCTGGGAAAAGCCGAAACTGCTTACTCAAGACAAAGCGGCTTCAGTGTCGGCGGGTGGGGGGGGGGGGGGGGAAGTGCCAGGGAAGCAGGGAAGCTGCAGGCAGGCGATGGCTTCCGGGCCGGGAGGGGAAACACAAGTGCGTCATTCTGTCATCAAGCGCCTCCTGTCTGGGCCTGTCACCAGAAGGAGGGCAGTGACCCAGACCCCAAAAGTCTGGGGGCTGTAAGGAGCTGGCCCGAGCGAGTGGGGAACACGGGACGACACGAGTACAAACCAAGGATGGGACCGACTCGCAGGGCAGCCTCTCAGCGGGCACGCCCCAGATGCACACCCAGATGCACCCCTGAGGGCCATGGACAAAGGTCTGCGCTGGCTGAGCACAGGGAGCTGAGCACCTGGGGATGGTGCAGCCCAGCAGCCTGGGAAAAGGGTGCACCTCCTCAGCCACAGGCCCCAGGGTACGGATTCCTCGGGGGGGGTCCTGCACCAGGGGCGGCTCCAGTAGGGGGCAGGGGAGGGGGTGTGTGTGTGTGGGGGGGGTGGTCTACTCTCCCCGCAGGGACTGCCCACAGTCCCAGTGAATCAGGCTTGGGGCAAGTCTCTGGTGGCCACAGTTTCACCCAGGGGTCTTGGCCCACAGTCGGCTCCAGCCTGCACCTTCCCACCTTGTTCTCGGCCTACAGCCTACTCCCGACTCCTGGCCCTGCTCTCGTTGGAGCCCCTTGATTTGGAGGCTGGGCACCAGTACTACCCATTGTCTCTGGCCAGCCTGATGGCCTGCCTGAGCCACCTTCTCTGGACGCGGGCTGCCTCCTCTGAGGTGGCCTCCATTTCCCCACACCTCCCCTCTCTGGTCTCCTTGCTCCCCGTGTGCCCCTTCTGGGGGCTGTCCGTGGCAGGAGGCTGCTGCAGTTAGACCTGTGTCTGCAGGGTGGAGGCCAAGCAGAGCATACACATCAGGGGTGGGGGTGGGGGACTGAGGAAGAAGGGCCCAGAAGCACAGGTGAGCATTATATTCTCTGCCACCATGGAGAGACCCTCCCAGCTCCCAGTCACAGCAATGTGGCTTCCAGAACTCTGTGGAATGTGGTGACCCCCAAGGCTGTGCCTCTCAGTTTACAGACTGGGGCTACTCATTTGGCTACTGTTAGGTCGGCATGACCCGTGGCAGGCTCATCTGCAAGCTCTTCTGGCTAAGGGAACCCACAAAGCCAGTCTTCCAGCTGCATACCTGCCCCTGTGGTTGCTGGGCCCTGAGCCTGCTGCTTCTGAGAGGCATACTAGGGAAAGAGCAGGAGCAGCTCTTGTGCACCAGAGTGGCAGCCTTGTCCCTAATGGCCGGGCAGAGCCACTTGCTCAGCTTGGGGCCCTGGCCCTCCTTGGCTAGGCCCGAGCCACCTGCAAGCCTCCATCAGGATTGTGCACCCCACTCCGGTTCCCACCAGACAACTGCAAAGAGGGCAGGAGGCTTTGGGAAATGACCTGAAGCCACCAAGAAATGGAGCCCTGGTTTGTCAAGCACCCTGGCCACCACCTACTTGGGGACCGTGGTGCCGGTGACGGGGAGCCCTGTGCCAAGTGGGTGGGCACAGTGGTGTGGGTGGGCACTCACGTTGATCATAGCATTTGAGGTGATGCGGAAGAGGGTGGCCCGCTCATTCACGACCTTCAGCTTCTCGCTGCTCTCATAGGGGATTTTGAGGCCGTCCAGCTCGCTCAGGGAGCGCTGGAGCGCGGCGCCGTGCTTCGCGATGAGATCATTGCACGTGCTGAGGTCGTCCAACTTCAAGGAGAGGCTCTTGATGGCGCAGTGTAGCTCGCTCTTGTCAGCTGGAGAGGCAGTCTCGTCGTCGTCGTCCCCAGAGTCATCTGCGGAAGGAAAAAGAGTTGCCACGGTTATTAACTGACCAACACAGCACCGAGAAGCCCACTGGCCTGGGCCCAGGAGGAAGGAGCAGATGGAGCCTCTCAAAACAGAGGGCCCTACATGGTGCCAGCTCCTGCTCTCGGTCAGCCCTCCAGGGTGGCCACGGGCCCTCGTGAGTCAGTGGGAGGGGATGGAAGGGGGGACCAGCTTGACAGACCGTGCCTGGCCTGCACTTTGGAGGGGGCAGGCCTGCGGGCACCCGCCTGCGTGCGGGGCACCAGCCGCCTAAGCTGCGCCACGCAGGCCAGGGTGGACCGAGCTGGGTGGAGAGGTGGAGACTGCCACGAGGAGCAGCCCCCGTCGCAGACCAGAGACCCCGGATGAAGGCTGGCTCCTTTCCCCGCATCACGGGCCCAGCCTAAGCCGACCCAGACTTTCCTGCCGGCCTCACTTTGCCCTCTGCTCTACGCCCACACCCGGCCCCTCCAAACTGCCCCTGTTCCCTGCAACACCTGAGTGCTCAGGCCTGGGGCCTTTCCCACGGTGTCCTCACTGCCTGGAACCTCCTTCTACCTCCCCCACCTCCTCAGAGGCCTCACCCCTACCCAGCCCCAGCCCGATGCCCCCTATCTTCAAAGCCTGCCTGAAGACCCCCAGGCCAAAGTCATTCTCCCTGCCCCTGGCCATCCTCCTGCAGGTCTCCACCCACCTCCCCGTCACGAGCAAGGCCGCTCACATTTGTCCAGACACGGGCTGTGGCCTCTCCATGGCCTCATCAGGGTAGGGATGATACCATGCCCCAGGGACAGACAGGCAGCTGAGGTCACACCCCAGGCCACCCGGCTAGTCTGTCTGCCTCCACAGCCGCCCTCTTCATGCCAGGCCGGCCACTGGGGCCTCTGTGAGCGGGCCAGGCGGGCGCCCCATCTCCTCCTGGCCCATCCCGCTCAGCTCTCACACAGCCGCCCGGGCGCCCTCAGGGTGGCCCTTCCTGGGAGTCCAGGGTGCCTTGGAGCCCAGCCCGCTGCCAGCCCTGCCTGTGTTGAGAGGCTCGCAGGGTAGTGGGGACCTCGGCGGAGGGGGGACCACTGCGGGTGGGGTAGGTGGGCATCCGGCCCGGGCTCTGCTGCTGCTAAAGCACTGGGCTCACGACCGTAAAGACCTGCGACCGGACTGCGTGCCCGAGCCTGTAAGCGCCAGGGATTTCTGAGAGGTCTTGTTTCAGAAATCATCAGTTTACAAAACATTTTTCTTTTTCTTTCTTTCTTTTTTTTTTTTTGTGAAGGAAATCTGTAACCCAAGATACAAAATTTTTTAAAGAGGCACATGCTGTGAGGGAACAGATTTCTTCCCGCGGCAGACAGGGTGCGTGGGGGTGGCCACGGCTGAGTTACGACTCTGAGCGTGTCCTGAGCTGGTGGTGGCACCGGGACAGCCAGCGGCATGGGGCCTGGGTGGGCTGGAGGCTGGGGGTGCAGCCCTCACTGGGGCCGTGGGCCAGCATCCGGGCTCAGGGCAGGGGCTCTCCCTCTTCCCACCACAGCCAGCCTGGCGATGGCTCGGAAATGGCCCGGTGCCCGGGGACTGCACGTGTGGCACCAGCCTCACCGTGGTCCGCAGACAGTGCGAAGTGAGGAAACGTACATTCTCAGACAACAAGCCACCCGTTTAGGGCGCTGTGGTTACGGGGTGAGAGCCAGATCCGAATCCGGGTCTGTTGAGCATCAGACCCTGGGCTCTCAGTTACAGTGTAATCTCCTGTCACCTTTCCGAGTTCTAACCCCCAGAATGGTCAGCCACCGAGCAGTCAGAACAGGGGCTGCTGTACACTGGGAGGGCCGTGTGGGGACACGCTGGCTGCGGGTCAGCCTGAATGGGACCCCCCCACACACACACACCCCGTGCTCTAAGCAAGAAACACAGCTGGCCTAACTCTGAGCATCTGCCTGTGTGGTGGGCAGAGGTGGGTAACTGCATTTCTAGTTAACTTGTTAATAAGCAGCTCTTAGGGTCCAAGTTCAGGTCCGGCGGCCAGAGACAGGAGGATGTACTTGTTCTGCTCCCAAGTCACGGGCTGTTTTGGCGGGAAAGGGATGGGAAGATTCCTGGGTCAGCAGTTACTGACCAGCACAGTGTGTCCTATGGGGATGGGCAGGGAGAGTCCCTCCCAGAGGGTACAGTGAGATCGGGAGAATGAGGGAGAGAGGGAAAGAGGGCAGGTGCAGGGGTGGGGCAAGAGAGAGGGAGGGAGTGGGGGAGTGAAGGAAGGAAGGATCAGGAGGCCTGTCCAGGGGTTCTGAGTGGCACGCGCAGAGGTGGCGGGTCACACACGGGACGGCAGTATCTGGAGAAGGGCATGATCAGTAGGAGGGAGGAGCTACTTGGAGAGCGGGGTGGGAAAGGGCCTCTGGCTCAGCTGAGAAGCCTGGGCCTTTATCCCTTGGCAAGAAGGAGTGTGTGGGCACCTGAGCAGAGATCCATGGGAAAGATGAGACTGGTGGCAAGTGGCAGGATGAGCAGACTGAAGGGACAGAGAGGCCAGAGTAGCCACAGGAGGCCAGGGGCTGGAAAGAACGGGGCCTCTGAACCTAGCCCAAAAGTGCTGATGGCAGCACCCACCCAGCTCCAAGGCCATGACCGTCTAGTGACAGCCATGCTCCCAGGCAGTCCCCGTCCCTGGCCAGACCTCGAGGAGGGGGCCTAGCCGCCATGTGGCCTGACATATGGCCTAGCTGCTCACTTCCCCACAGTATCATGGGCTGTTCAGACTCATACTGAGCCCAGCGCCATGAACCCCTCCACTCAGGCCTGGGTGGAAGCCGAGCTGAACCATGAAGGGGACTCTGCCTCTGACATGAGGAACTCCGACCATCCTGAGTCTCCAGGTCTCAGTTTGGGGTCAGGGGTCCTTGCAAGGAGCAGACTCACATTAGAAAGAGAGATGAAACTCATTATTAGAGATGTAAATAAAACTACTTGCTGTGATACTACTCGAACTAGAGAAAGAATGAATGGCATCAAATTAGCTTCAGCTTTCTGAAGGATAAACCAGCAGCTACCCCTCAAGAGCCACAGAAATGGCTCTTCCACTTCCATGGCCCACTTCTTCCTTTGACAGGGGAACTCCACTCATGGGGAATTTGGTTCAAAGGAAGGCAAACACTTGTAGGCACCAAGTTGTTCAGGCCTGTGGCTCTCAAGCTCATGGCCTTGGGGGTTCTCGAGCTTTTATGACCCTGCCTGTCCCCTCTGTTCAGTCCACATCTCCACAACCCAGCGAACACTAACCTATCCACAAACGTAACATCCTACAGAAATTCTGCAACTCTATTAATACAAGAAGAGCAGCAACTGAAATCCAGGGCCAGGTCAAAGCCACACTCCTGGGCCACAGAGGAGCCCCCTGCCTTCCCCCAAACCCATGTGAAGGCCACGACTTAGTACGATGAGCAGCTCTTGGGGGAGGGGGTTGCCAGGGTGTCCTGGGGTGGCATAAAAATAAGGTGGTCGGAGAACTGGCTTGAATGCCTGAGCTCCTGGTTCACCTTGAACTCTGCTGATTTGTGGGGCTGTCTTCCTACTCTGGGCCTTGGAATCCTCATGTGTACAGCAAGAACAGCAACACCCACCTCACGGAGCTCGGAAGCACCTGGGTATCAGGTGGGCCACATCAGGTGGGATCATCCCCAGCAGCCGCTGCTGCCACACTGAGGGATCTCTGAGCATTTGGGCTGGGAAACAAGATCTAACACTGGGAGAAGCACACCCTGGTTTTCAGGGGCTGGCTGAACTCAATGCCTCTCCATTACCTCCTAGAAAATGCTGGTCCTTTAAAGAAAGGAAGTCTACCTGAGCACTGGGAGGGTGCAATGTTTCATCAGCCAGGACCCAGTGCAGACCCGGGCTTGGCCCCAGCCAAGTTTCAGGGGAGACTGGGAAGGAGCCAATGGACCCCTAGCAGGTGGCGTCTCTGCATAAGGCCCAGGGGTTAAGGCAGGAGTGAAGGGTGGGGAGGGGTAGGAAAGCGGCATTGTTGACGTGCCCAGAGCCCTAGTGGCCCCTTAGTCTCCACTGCCTGTCCGCCAGGGCAGCTGTGCAGAGACTCAGACGATGTCCTGCTTTTCTGGGCCCCTCCTTCTTAGCTGCTGCTTTGTCTCTGTTCAGAACAACTGGTAGAGCTCTGGAGGAGGCATCGTTGGCCCTCAGATAAAGGACAAGTGTCTAACCATGAGGGTGCTCCCCGTCCTCACTGTCTCCTGCTCTGCTCACCTCTCCCATTTTCTTCAGTTGCGGTCAGCTGATACAAGGGTAGCAGGAGCGTTCTGGCAGCCTCTTGGGCTGTCAAGTGACCCCACTCGTGGACTGGCCAGGCTGAACCCAAGAGGGTTCAGAACATGGGCAACTTTAGGTCATTCCCATTGCATCCAGGCCCATGCCTTTGCTTTTAGATGGGAAAACTGAGGCCCAGACGGAGGAGAGGGGCTTGGTCAAGGTCAGACACTGACCTTGGCAGCAATGGCAGCTATAAAGCCCCCGCTCTGTCAGATATGGCCCAGACCTTGGGCGAGCTCTTTCCAAATGGCTAAGATGTGTTTGCTGAGGGCTCAGAGCCTGGGACCCAGGGCAGATGACCCAGATACCTTTCCCAGAAGGGGAGGACATGGAGGGGGTGCTTTATGCCCCTGCTATCAGAGCCTCCTCCCCAGGCGGTGGGATGCCGGCCTCTGATCACACGCCACGACCAGCTGCTGCTGTCAGGAGCCCACAGTGCTGGGCGGCACTTAGGTCTGCAGGGCAGAGTGCTGGGGCTCACTTTCTCTCTCGACACAGCCCGGGGGTGGAGGCAGGTAGGAGAGGACAGGGGACTGCCTTTACTGGGCAGCAGGTGTGAGCAAAGGCACCACTGAAAGCATCCCAAAGTGCACATGGCACCTGTCCTTTGCTCGGTGAGGATCTTTCTGCCCCTCCTTCCTGCCAAATGTCAGTCCCTTCACCGGGGTGC